TCCAGCTCTAACTCCAGATGATGATGATGACGGTCAAACTCTTGGTTAATATGAAGGCTGTCAGGAGGCTTGTTAAGACTCATCATAACTCTGCTGCTCCCTCTCTGCAGGTGCTGTATTCAGCTGAGACGATGATGCTGCTCGTCTTCAGCTGTGTGGGTGGAGCAGCAGCAGAGGTGGAGGCTGGAGGATGGTGTGGATGCATTAGCACGTCTGGTGTGTAACAGCCTTTAACCTGCTCTGAGTCAGACTTTATGACCAGACTATCACTGCTGGGCCTCACTGACGTTCTCGAGAACATCGTGACCCAGGATTTTTAAATTGATATCACAGGCCACAACCTTAAAGTCAAGGTCAAAGGTCAAGTGTTCTGAAAAGCTTGTGAACTCAGTTTGATGTGTTTCAGTAGAGCTTCCACAAATAACAGGCGATGAAGTAAAATCACTGTTCAGTCATGCGTGCAGGTAAGACTGAGACTGTGACTGAGAGCGTTCATGCATTTAAGGTGGAATAGATTGTGTTCGCTCTGGTGATTCAGCTGTTTCAGGGCTGATCAGCTGTTCTACAACTTGTACCTCAGGGGATTTGAGCCACCTACAGATTCTCCTGTACCTGCCAGCACACTGACACTTTGACTATCACAGACCTGTGTGTGGACATGTGGACGCTCTGTGTAACAATGATATTCATTTTAGCACTACTTACTACTGACACGCAAGAGAGGAAGGTCAGTTTCCATTTCTGTGCTTATATCTTACTAAATGCAGGGTAATGACTGTGTAATGTGTTGAATTTAATGTAGTGGACTGTCTGAGCACATCTGCTGATAAGCTGAGTCAATAGAAGCACATCCTGTAGATAAGCAGCTCTGAGATTTACTGTCTCTGCTGCTCTGAACGAGTCCTCTGAGCTTCAGCCGCAGACACAAACCCTCAGATTTATCCAGTCAGATTCATTTACAGGACCTGAGGGAGCAAAGCAGACACAAACTGCAGAATATTTTATTTATTGGTCTGTCAGCACCTAATCAAGCCTCTCTGACCAACTATTGTTGAAGTGCTGGCTGATTGTGTGAGGCTGCAGCTCCATCTGTCTAATGTTGGTGTAGAGATCATCCTTTCATCAGCTGCTGCGACAAAACCTTAAAGCTCAGATAGAGATAACAGGTGTCACACAGTAACTGTGAGATGAGCTGTATCTGCTGCTGGGAGGCTGAGGTGGAGGTGGCTGTGATAAAGGTGCTTAGATTTGCACTGGGAATGACAGCTGTCAGGTATAAGAGTAAATATATCTGGTTAGTTTGGACTGTAGAGGATTATATTAATTTGATATTGAGCTGAAAGTGGTGGGAGGATTGCTGTGGTAGGTGTGACAGCAGAAGTGAGTGATTGAAGGAGAATGATTAGTTTACTAAAATGAAATAAAATGTCTTCACATGTCTGTGAAATACTCAGCTTCAAAATAGAAAGTGCTGTCTCACTGTGACATCTGTTAGAGGATAGTCTGTACTGATCTGTCAGTGCATTATGTGCTCAGTTGAATCTGACAGTGTTTGCTGCCACTCACTGCTCTGGTGTGTACACATGTTGTACGGCCATAAAACTGTGAGAGATTCAGTTCTTGAGTGTTTCATGAGGCAGATCCTGATTGTGTCAGCACAGCTTTTGATTTCTTATTTCCTGATGTTCACAGAGTGTCTCGACTCCACATGTAGAGTTGGTTCCACTAGCCTGAGGGCTGAACTACAAACCAAGTCCAGCATAGCTTAGCTTTCTTTGCATTAGCTGGCTCATAAAAGCTCAGATATAACAGACATGCTTCAGTCTCTGTTTGCTCTCACACTGAAAGTGATTTCACGCCTCCTTTCACACCTACTTCAGTCCAAAACAATATCAGAGGAAGTGTTGATAGAGGTCAATAGAATATATAAGAAATACAATAGAAACACAGCAGTGGTGCTGATAAGTGAGGAAGAGGAGTAAGCAGTGCTGCAGACGATCAGTATGGAAGCAGTGAGAGAAAGTCCACAACAAAGTTATTAAATCATTGTTGACTCATCTGAAGCTCTGAACACATGACCCACTCAGATTATCTGTATCCATATGTTACCATATCACAGAGACGCCTTCCTGATAATGAAACTTGACTTTGGGCTCCGTGTACCTCTCAGCCTCTTAAGTCACTCTGTGGTGCTCTTCATGTCAGCTGTGGTATTTGCTGTGTGTTTAATCTGTGCACACAAGTTGTTTTGCATGATAAATACTAACACACTGATGTGTAAACACTGAGAACAGTGACTAACAAACAAACCCATAAACAGGAACGACCCGCCTCTTATATGGTTAATGAGAAAAAGTCCGTTTTTTTTAATTTACTATCACAAACCAGCAACACTTTACTGCAAAACAACTTCAGTTGTTTTCAGGAAGTTAGGACTGAAATAATCTCTGTTGTTGTTTGTTTGATGATCTTAGTGCTGATTTATCTTTTCAGCTTGTTTAACTGAGTCTTAATGTTAAATATCCTCTCTGGTATGAAAGAAGAAAGGAACAACCATCTGAATTCACAGACCTTTTGCAGTTTCACGTGTTTATTCTTAGATCGTTTTAACTTCCTTCCAATTTGCTCAAGTGGGAATTATCTAATGTCAGAAAAAAGAAAAACAAAGTTAAGTAACACAATTTAATCCTCT